AATTTTTCGCGAAAGAGCCTTAATTTCGTTCCCTCTTCAGGCAAGCCTGTAATAATTTTGTCATCCACTTTGAATCGAGCTTTTTGTGGTCCCCTACACCTTCATCCGTTAGTCCTTGAGTAAAATCTAATTTTTACTGCGGGTAATTTCCCCGAGTGATTCGCTGAAGCTTCACTGATGTAATGGGCTTTTCGCGCAAATGAATTGAATATTCAAACTGTGTAGTATATTACCTAAACACTGATTGAGGCTTAATGAAAATAAATTGTTGACAAACACAGTGCAGATACACATAGAATCGAAAAATTTGTTCATTTTCTGACCGAGATCGAGTTTGGCCCGAGAGAGACGATCAGTTGCAAACTCGGTCGTGCGTACACCAAAGTCTTCAATTGGACCCGAAACGAGCCACGCTTGTTTATTATATTCGATTTCAATACATCACCTCTGCATCTGTGTACGCCTACCAAGACGCTATGCTTATCCTGCACTGCCGAGAAGTCGATACAAACTTATAATTGGCTGTCCCGCTCTTATGCATGTATATATACCTTAGCGGCTTGTATAGCTGTTTCTTGGGGTGAGACACAATGGCCCTCCTCTGCTTTTATGCCACTGCTGCAGCTTAATTCCCCCTCGAATTAACATCACCTGTACAACGTGCCATTTCTTGTAATGGAAAATCCCCACAATCCGATTCATTTATACCTATTGCACTTTAGCTGGGGGTATACGTACTTTGAAACATTTTTACGTAAATCCAAATTTTTTTTGTCTCCCCTGTACCCCACACCAGCCGGATGGAGAATTTCATTGAAATCGTCTTTCAAGTCGGTCAAAGTTGCGCGCGGAGTCGCAAGAAAGAAAAAGTCCACGCGTCGTGGCGTGAATTCGATTGTCCGAGGAAATTGGATGGGACTCCTTTGCAAAGAGCTGCCTCGAGTGACTGTAGCGTACGTTGCAACCGTCCGCGGATTTAAATCATTCGAACGTTTATTGCGCGTTGTCGAGCTTTTCGAGAGAAAAGGTCAAAGAGCGGGCCATTGTAGTCGAAACAGGTAATTTCGGTGCGTGAAAGGGACATTAAAACGAGTCCACCTGCGGCACGTGGGCTTACTAATTAAATCAAATGTCTCGTAACGTAACGTTTATTTGATCGTGGAATTGCCTGTTGCCAAAAGAATCGATGCACAATGAAATCCCGGCGATTCGTTTAATTGACGCGCGCCTCGATGCTGTTTGCCAAAGCGTGCATTGAAAAAGCGAATAGAAAACAAAGAAGGGTAACAATTTTTTTTTAAGCAAAGGATGGACGGTGCATTAATTTTTGGATATGCCGATATCGCTTCCCGGCCTTGGTTGGAAAAAATATGTTATGCAAATAAGCAGCTACTATCATCTTTTTTGAAAAAGTACACATACTTAACCATCATTTTTTTTTTTTTTTTTTTTTTTTTCAGTGAATTTACTACCAAAAATTACCTAGATTCGCTCGTTCTTTTCAATGTATACCTATACTTAGCGATCCCACCAACTATAGAGGATATGCTTTCATCTAATGGAGCGATTTCCTACTTCGTGATGCGCCTGACGCAGCTATCTCTTTCCCTTGGCTGAATCGGCCACCTGTGGCTGTCCTAGGACTGCCTCCGCAGTTCGAGAAATAAGAACTCGTCGGGCCGTGTTTGAATAAAGTGCTATCTTATATGGAGTTCAGAGTAAAAAGTGAGCCGTTCGCGTTACTTGTCGCAGATTGTTAATTACCCTCTAGTGTTGCCCCACCTTCAGCCGCGGATTGTTAAAAAAAAAAAAAAAATGAATTACGACCACTTAATTACGTGGCGTGCAAAAATGCTGACGCTGGAAGAAAAAACGCCGTATCCCTTTTCGCCTGGATAAAATTTGATATTCGTGTCTTTCCGGGAAAAGTTTTTGGTGCCGTTTACCAAATGAGAATAAAGAACTTGCGTTTGAACTCCAATGCTCGGGTATGTAACCTTCGAAGCGCGACGATGATTCCGGGGGAGTGGGGAAAAAAGTGAAAAAACAGAGGCAATAACAGTGCCGGAGATTTCTGTGGGTTTTTGTTAATTAATGGGGGTTTAGTATGTGGTAAGAAAAAAAAAAAAAAAAAAAAAAAAAAAAGAAGAGAAGGGGGGTAAGTGCTACTTGGCATCTCAAGCGCGAGTGCGGCCGCAATCTCGATAATGGCCTCTTCACGAAATTAAAAAGACCCCGGCGTGGGCTAATGTTGCTCGGGGAAAAAAAAATCTCGAGGAGGACCGGGCCGCGCGTGAAGTCGCGCTCCGTTTGTCCGCGCGCAGTTTTCACGGCTACGCGTTTGCTCGCTCAACGTGTACCCCTGCAGCGGTAATTGCCTTTTACCCCGGTGTTATTGTGTGAAGATTTTTAATATTTCTCAACGCTTTTTTTTTTTTTTTTTTTACGAAAAATTTATTCAATGGAAACGTCAAGCTGTACGAAATCGTGATAAATATTCCAGATCTACCAAAGTGTCGTGAAAATGGCACTTTAAAAAAAATGGAGAAACTCGTACTTGGATACAACAAGTTTTTTTTTCACCTTCAGATTTTTCAAATCAAACTGTTGGGTGTTCCCGAGTTTCGCCACCTACCCAGTCGAGTTATCACTTTTTTGATCACTCTGTCGACGATGATCTCTATTGAAAATAGTTGAGATTGTTACCTTCCGTTATAAATTGCTTCCTGTGCTTCTGGCTGTGAAAATTGGAATACCTGAATTTTTGTACTTTTCCCTTTGAATAAAAAATTATGACCTTTACAGCGTGCAATTACAGGATAATGAAGGACTTTCCGTAATTTAATTGCTCCGACTTGGATAATGAAACCGTGTAAAGATCACTTGATTAACACACTGTCCAACTCGGCGTTTCGCAAATTCAAACTTGAGATTCAATAACATGCAAATTCGATTGAAAATCCCGAACTAACGAAGGCGAGCACTCCAATATACCACTACCAGCTCTCTCCATCGAATGTTTACACACATACCGAATTCGAGATCCTTCCCTCGCTCTATGAATTCAATAAAACGCTAGCATATATACTATTTGGATTGGCATAAAATTCACTCGCACAGCACAGGTGTTTCCCTAACAACCTCCCACGGATGACATCGGTCGAGTAAAAGCACTTTTCCGCGCTTGCCTTTTTTTCCTCTCCCGATAGGTTTTTGCGACCCGAGCCGAGTGAGTTACAACTCCGTGGAATCCTAATGACGAAAGTTCGCGAAACTTTTTTTAATTTCATTCAAAGGGACAGCGAGTCCCTTTCTTTCGAAACATTTCGAATACCCTCCGAGTCCGTTCCTCGACAGGGTCGTGGAAAAAAATAATCGCCCGGAGAAAAAAAAAAAGCGGAAGCGCCGAGAGGTGTATTTCCTGGGCAAAGTTATCCCAGGGGAAGACGGTGCACGGCACAACAGGTGAATTCAACTTCGAGTCGAGCCTCGCAAAACTTTATATTTTCGCCGTACGGTCGCCCGGAGTAATGGGTTAATAAAACGAATCATTCTTTTCTCCTTCATTGTTTAACAAAAAACCGAGGACCACCCCCGCGGAAACGCAATTCTCCGTTGTGATGTATGAAAGCTCACCTTCGAGATGCGCGCAATTAGGAAAAAAAAATACATCGAGCTCTCCGAAAGCCCCCTGGCATTAAAATTTAATTTCCGAGAGCCCCGGCAAAGTTGGAGAAATTCCCTCGATCCAGCAACACGAGCCAGGCTAAAAGCATCACGAGGCCCTTTGGAGGCAACCGGGGAGTGGGTAATACCAAAGCCAAGCGTAGCTCGCGAACGTCGACTTTTAATCACCTGCCGTATTTTTCGCGTACACGCGTACTTACGCTCAAAACATACACGACACGCTTTAGCGCGCAGGTGGAGTCCAACCGCGAAGCGCTCGAACGACATAACTGCGACACTATGATATGTACCTGCAGTGTGTACAAGACGGATAATTGAATCTCTCGGTGGTGTGTACATATTTGTTGCCGAACGAGCTAGTCGCGTGAGCTTTTAATTTTCAAAGCCAAACGAGGCACGGGGAGGTTCTCCTAATTGACGCGGACGTCATTACGCCCGTGAAATTTATAAACTCGACTGTCACTGAGCGAATAAATTCATCACGCGTATGGAAATGCTTTTCTAGATCTTCGTCGGCTAAGCGTCAAGGGAATAAATTAAAAAAAATTGCGTGTCGTTTTAGTTATTATGTATATGCTCGGTACTTTTTCTCAATGGTACACAGAGTTGAAAAGTTCAAACTTTTACGTCACTACTTTTTAAAATCACCTTAAAAACATACGTAACGAATTTTCTTATAAAACGTAAAAGTAGATCGCGAGTCGACATGGGACTGCGATTAACGTAATAAATTCACCTGAAGTTTCCAATTTTTTTTTTTTTTGTTTGTCCCATAAAAAACAAGTTTAACCATAGATACAGGGAATAGGGTCAGCGTTTGGTCAGACACGGGAGTATAATAGCTCGTGCACCTATACAACATTTGACAATTCCAGACTCGTCAGAGCAGCGCCACATCGAACGAGGATGCGGAGCCGACGGCAGGTGGCCGCTCGCGCACCCCGTCCATGGCCTCGCCCTCGGACATCATCAGCTCGCTCAAGTCGGCTTTTGCCGATCCGCTGAGCTCGCGCCTCTTCTCCGGCGGCCACAGTAGCACCGACAGGAGCCAAGATGCCGTCGAGAAGGAGCCGCGGCTCGAGACCCCGCGCGCTCTGCAGCAACCACAGCTGCAGCGACAACACGTAAATTGTCTTTCCATTTTTTTTTCTCTTTAATATACATGTTAGAGCACACATGAGCCATGGCGATAATCATTTTAAAATGAAGTGGAAAAAAAAGCCAGACGCGGTAACCATTTGAAATATATGTTAACGCACAGGTACGACAGTGTTGCCCAGCGGAGGCGTCCACCCCTGGGTTAGCGAGTCGAGTACAAGAGCCGTCATCGTCATTATTATTTTCGACAGCCGATGGATCGTCGTCATCAACAGCAGGACCATCGGCTTCTTTGTCTTTGCCGTCGTGCCCGTACGACACCTCTATGCCCGGCACGAGCAAGGACACCCTCACTGTACCCTGGTCTCCCATGCCCGTCCACAAGAGGATAAACGCCGTGCCGGTGACGCCGGATCACCTCATGGTCGACCTAGCCATCAAAAAGCCCCACATCACAAAGTCCCAGATGAGAGGTTATATATATACTGCATCAAATCATTCTCCGTTTACATATATGCACGTCCTCCTCGTATACTAACTCGCTTCTGATGTCTGCAGTGCTTTACCTTGTACACGTGTTTGATTATTTGCGCCAGAGCTTCTTCTCGAGGAACGTCCGATTTGAGCTTTCGCCCCTTTTCTAAAGAGAATATTTGCAACCTTTTCTTTCCTCAAGACAATTACCAATACCCTTGAACTATATAATTGGTTTAACGCGAGTGTAAGGATTTTTTTCTTTTTTTGTTCGACGTGGGTGCAAGAAAAACGCGTTTTTGATAGCCGCAGTGGAGCGTTGTTCCGACAGATTTCCCGCTTTCCACTCGCCTGAAATAATGCATCCAAAACACCCATCGGTGGAGGGAAAAAAAAAAGGCGCGAGAGCCCATGCACGCATAAGCGGACGCGTGTCCCGGGAAAGATATGCAACGCTTGCAAGCTCAATGGGCCGCAAAACGAGGCCATTAAGCGCAACGTGGATCTAAAGTTTTCTCGGGTCGCGCGAGCCAACGTGAAAATGATCGCAGGGCCATTCGCGGCACCTGTGCGTCCACTGTTGCCCTTTATTTGGGAATGAGCGCCCGAGCGTGTGGACTTTGGTTCGCAACTCTGCTCCCAATCTTTGCAATGTTGCCGACACGTACATTTTTTCTTTCACCTCTCATAACTTTGATTTAGAATGCATGAATAATATCTAAAATAACGAGTTGTGTCGTTCCAGAGTTGCGGGAGGCCTTCCGGCTCTTCGACAAGGACGGAGACGGGGCCATCACGAAGGACGAGCTGGGCAGCGTGATGCGCTCCCTGGGACAGTTCGCCCGAGCCGAGGAGCTCCGAGAGATGCTCGAGGAGATAGACACCGATGGTAAGCCGCCCGTGTATCACACAGCTCTCGCGTACTTTCTCGAATCGGCTATTTTTTTTTTCCCCCCCGGGGCCATGAATTTTTCATACCCGGTATCAATTAAGCCGCAATCGCCGGAATTAACGAGCGCCCTGCATCGGAAGCAGGTGTCGTTGTTTGTTTGCCTCGCTAGCTGTTATGCATTATTGAACGCGCGCTGCCGAAAGTAATGAAGGGGCTTTAAAAATCAGGGTCGCGTATATGGGGCTGAAAATGGTAATGCGGAGGTCGCCCGTGCATACAACCTTTCGGCGCGATCCTTACTCCCAGAGTCGTCATGTGATGTGGAAAAAGTCGTGGAATCTTACATCAGCGAACTAGCCCACGTGATTAATGAAGCACTTTGACGCATTAATTCTTTTTTACCTTCCAGTGGTGTATTTCAAAGAGAAAATTAAATAAATTACGCGTAACAACGATCCGGGGCTTAGTAGATACCCATCATATATTTCTATCCAAGACTTAAGGAGAATCGCTCAAAGGCTCGGATGGAGTCGCGGTTAATGAGGCGGCTTTTGTTTTCCCCACCCTGTGTATATAACCCCGCGCTCAAAGCTATCCATCGGCCCGCGGTGTATTGACCCGGTTTTCCATCGCAAAACGGTATACGAGCTGTCTCTCGCTGCGGAGGAAGGAAAACGGTATTAGCGAGCACGTCGACCGAGGCCTGCTAAATTACCTCGATTTCCCGTGTATGGACCGGAGGGGGAATCGAAGACGGTATTTGTACGAGGGAAAGTGTAAAAAACGAGCTCGATTTCGGCTGAACTCTACCACTCGCGCTCGTGCCATTTTCCCCCGCTGGACACTTGCCGATATTTCTCTCGCCGATCCCATCGATCCCTTTCCTTTTTTTAAGCGCGACAATTTTATATTACGCAAGCACGGTAAGCCGATTCCAACGAGTACACACAAGTGGCTCTTCTATGTATTTTCGCGTCCCCTCCAGGCGGCGACTCTCTCTATTTTAGGTGCTCTTGGTCTTCCTGCACCTGCGATCGACTCGAAAAGGTAAAGCTCTTGACCTTACTCCCTCCCTCCCGAGGCTAAATACCGAGAATTCAAATCCCTCCAAGCCCCTTCCGTCTGTTGTTATCGTTCCATTCCTCCGCTAATGGCCGGCGGCACTTTGAATACGCACACATGAGCTTGCCTGTGACACTCTCGGTCGTAGGTACTTATGGGCTATTATCTCTTTTCTCTCCTCTTGCTCTGTATTCCATGCTTGGGCTTCCTTCGGGGGGTGAGGCACTATTTTACAAGAGTACCCGCGCACATTGTCGCGCGTTCGCTGAAGTACTACAATCGATGTTGTGCGCCTTACAACGATGCCGGTGTGCCTTTGTCTCGTGTGCCCCTCTCTCGAGCCTTTGCCCCGAAACTTTTATCCACCTGCATGCGAGAGGGATCGATTATCATCTCCCTCTATTCCCCGGCACGTATAGCGACGTCGTCGTGCACGTACCGATATGTCGTGCGCATCACGTATACAAGTACTTTTTTTTTTTTTTTTTTTTCTTTCTCGTGATGAGGAACTTTTTTTTTTCAAGCATACACTGACATTGCAGTTGGGTCGTTATACCTAACGAAGATAAACGTTGAATCTTGAGTAAACGGCCCATGTAATCCCAAAGTTGTATCGAATATTCCTAAGTTCATCTAATGTGTACCCGTCACCGGTGAATGTAAGATGAAGGTGAATCTCGTCGAAAACTGCGCGTGGTGTGGAGAAAAAAAAAAAAATTTGCTGTCGCTCGCAGCCTATAGAAAATGGAAAGTAAACATGGGCGTCGACGAATCCCTACTTTGTTCTTCAAATATTGATTTAATCAGAGTGCCGATGTGAAAAAAAAGGCTCGTTCCTTTCAGGTTTAATTTTGGCATTCATCGCGTGGAGGATACAAATAGCGCGTTGAGGCTGCATTTTTTTTGTTGGCATGTTATAATACACAGGATGAAGCAAAAATAAAATAAGGTACACACGAGAGAATAACTAGCGTGCGCGGGACTTTTGGCATCTCAGAATGGCTGCAGAGGCGGATACCCGCACGCGAAGAGCATGTACTTACCTTTTTTTGTACTTTCATGGTGTGGAAATACTTATTTTTTTCAACCCTAGCAAATTCATGAAACCGTAATAATGATGTTTCTCGAGTGAAAAAAAAAAAAGTCAACTTTATATTCATTGTACTCGTGTGTGTAAGGGTGCGCGAGCTTTTCGTCAAAGAAAAAAGCTTTGTTTGGACGACCACAACCGCACTGTTACTACTTCGGGGGCCCAGGCGTTACGCTCGAAGGCGTGCCATGTTTTTCCGTCATATTCCGGTAAATGCGCACGGACTGTTGCAGTTGTCCTCGCTGAATCATATTTTCTCAAAGAGTATAATTTTTAGTCACAAGAGAAAACTTGAATGAAATTGACATTCTCGGCGTGACTACCGAATAAAGGAAAAAAAAAACTCGGTTACGCTGATTAGCTGTACTCCATATACGCGAAATGGGTGAAATCCCGAAGGGATGAGTCGCGAAGAGAAAGTTAGTTGTGGGAAGGAAAAAAAAAAGGGGGCAAGTGCAGAAGCAGCATCTCATTTATCGTTGATTGCAGTGGTCGAGGGGACACTTTTATCCGGCAACTGATTGCTTCGGATTGATACTATTACCCCCGGGGGGCTACCTGTAATTTACATGCTCTAGTTGTAAGCTTTTTTTTTTATTCCAATTGAGATAAAAAGGGCTTGCGAATAGTACGGAGTCACTTGAATACTTTGGAACACATACGACCAAATCGCAATGAGCCAATGTTGTCCAACAGAAACCAAACTCTCTTTGACTCTCGCTTTGGGTTTAATTCAGGAGCGGTGAAATTCAAGACTGGGGGAGGCTACCACAAGTTTCGCGTGAGGGTGGCCGAACAAGGGAGCAGGTACGGAATAGTTAAAAATACAGCCAGTCACTGCGCTTGATGTAAACCCACCTCCGTACACAACATGTCCAAGTCACTCGTTTGTCCAACGATGACATAATTCTGCGCTCGATAAGCTACACGTCTGCAACTTGAACGCTCTGCTACACAGGTAACATGTACATGTATACTTTGTTTCACTCGGGTGCCTTGCAGCCCAACTTTCTGTGGTTACGTACAGTGTCCAACTTGAGATACTGCATTGTGTGTGGGTTGGTATACCTACAGCAATAAATTGAGATTTCGATGCCTTGACAACTCTCTGATGGTTTACCTATACGTTAAAAGTTCATCACGAGGATTTTTTAAAACTATTTATTAATTATCCTCGTGATACTACGATTGGATTGAATCTTAATTGTTAAGCTGAATACATGCAATGGGTTTCGAGTAGCGGCAACTTTACCGTGAGATATCATTGAAACCTTCCAACAACGAGGACAGTCGACGGTGTGAAACGCGAAACAGAGGGGGAGCCTTTTAATGAAAAACAGGTGTCAATAATTGGATAATTATTTTACTTGACAAAATGCATTTTGTGAATCTACAGTCACGTATCGAGGGATTCGTGCTGGGCTTTTGAGATAAAAAACAAACACGCGAGATCCGACATCATTTATCCCGAGGGGGGAGGAAAAAAAAAAAATACAAAAAATTGCCAAGGTGTAAGACAAGCCACCGCATGTACCAACCCCAAGCCATTAAATCCAATTATTCGCTCTGGCGTGGCGCATGGGGTTATCTTTGTGTAAACACAGCCACACAGCTGAGGAGACGCGCGTATAGGTGGATGTGCGACGGTAGACTCGACACCTGGAGTCACGACTCGCAAGCTACTAATCAACGCTGATTGCAGCACCCGCGCCTACCCACGGAAAGCCCCGAGCTTTCAGTTGCAACGGGCGTCTTTTATTCTTATACTTGCGCCCAGCTTTGCGTATACATATGTACTTGTTAACTCCCTTCCTCCTCCCCCCGCTCCGATGACTGCTCCTAACGAGTCGATCGATCCCCCCGCTCCATCGCGGAAGTTTAATCATCGCTAGTTTTTTTTTTTTTTTTCTCTTTTATTTGGGAAAAAAAAAACAAATATTAATTCTACATCCGTGCTCGTTTTCATTTTTCTACGCAGAAAAAAAGAAAACTAAAGTCAAGCAGATAACCGTCAGAGTTACGTGTCAACTGGGTTTTTTTGTTTTTTGTTTTTTTTTTTACCATCACTTGAATCACTCATTTCGTACTGGACGCTTCTTCTCCTTCTATATACATTCGGCTTCCAGAGCATCGGTCCCCTAATCTACGCGTTAAACTGGCATTTGCCCAGCTGCGCGACATCTCGAAAATCCCCGCGAAATCCGAGCAGAGTGTATAGGCACGGAACTCGTCGCTAAAATCCAGGATTTATGGTACTTTTCGACGAATTTTTCGACCATCCCCCCACCTCCTCCCACTGGATGATAAATCTAGTCCAACTGCTTGGCTCTCTGAAAATTAAGTGCCGCACCGGTGCTACACCCCCTCCCGCGTACGTCTGTATGGTAACTGGTAATTCCACCGCCAGCCCAATCTAATACACGCGAGCGCAGCCCATTGCTGCTTTTGCTCCCTGCGGCTTCGTCCAATCTCCAGAGCTTCTTCCGCTGCTTTCTACATGTACACGTGTGTACACTCCAGGAGATTGGCCACAAAAGCTCGCTCGAACGATAGCCTGATACGATGATATAATACATCACTTTATCTCGAGCCTTCGTTTGTACCGTCACCCACGATTATCTCAAAATTTATTTGTTCGGCACGACTCTGGTTGACGTACAACGATTTAAAAAGTTGTGGTATAGGCCACAACGTCGGAGCTCAATGGAGACAACAGCCACTGCCCGTGGAAAACGTCAGCCAATTTGGGAGTTTGTAACGAATTATACGTATACACACCCGGTGACAATTAAAACTGTTTTCGTACCTGCTCTCTTTGCTTCGCTAAAGTGAACGAGAACTCGGTGTGTATACAATATAACATAGACAATATGGTAATATGTGGTAGGGGATTTTTTTTCTTTTCAAAAGAGTGACAAATTGGAGGTATTTCACTGTGAAAATTTTCTGGATCCTAAAACTTGTTGTTCTCCTACGCACATCGTTATTGCTACAATGGGGCCATTTTTTTCAACAAATTTTTTCATCAGCGGTAAATTCCCTCGTTTCATCCATCCCCTTTTCTATTACATGAATGAACTGTAACATCAGAAAAACGAGTAGGTATATTTTGTACCACAGATGATTGAATGATGTTTTTTCTCCGTTCCTCGCATATGTACGCAAAAACTACGTAGGCGGCAACTTCTGACACTGACGTTAGTATGTGAGTACCGTCACCTGCATCGGAGAGAATAAGAAAGAGGCGAATGCAAATACGTCAAAGCCAAAATAGCTTTTTCCTACAGCCGTTTCAATTGAATCACCGACTCGACCCCCCCGGGCCCGAGAGCTTTTTCCAACGTAAGACATCGTAAAAGGACCAATCCCCCTGTCCTCCCTGGCACCGTCAAATTAACGTTATCGCGGCCCTCGTTTGCACTTTTGCTTACCGCGCGAGTCTTTTTAACGAATCGAATGAAATTTCCATGTGACCTAAAAAACCGCTCGCATACAGCTTGTCAACGCGATTGAGAGAAAAAAAAGAGGGAGGGGGGGCCTCGTCCCTTTCACCAATGAAAGGCATATTCATCGACGCGCTTTCAATGCGAGCGTTGTGTTTTTGTCAATATGTATTTCTATTTTTTCTTTCTCGAAACAGCTGCTCCTGAATGCCCTGCTTTTTCTCTCGTTTCAGGCGATGGTAACGTCAGCTTCGAGGAGTTTGTCGAAATCGCGAGCAACATGGGTGCCAGCGCGAGCTCGTCCTCGACGGACCAGAATCAGGAGGAACAGGAGCTCCGCGACGCTTTTAGGGTAAGTGGCTGTGCATATATTTATTTATACGATCATTGGATGCGTTGCTCACCAGTTGCGTTTGAGATCACCCGAAAGGCGCTCACATTTCTCCCGAGAAATAATGATAATTAAATTTACGCTCGAGTATAAGGGAATAGAGGGGCATTACGTGCCTCGAGGAGCGTAGGAGCTTTGTGGGGTAAACATTCGCAAAGCAGGGTCGACGTAAATTAGGTAAAAAGTTCATGCGTGCAGAGGGTACTTTTTCTTCGTTGCCGGGGCTAAAAAGACGAGAAACGCGGGCAAACATCGTACCGCGAGTATACAACGCTTGCACGTAATTTTGCACTTCATTTGCTCGCGTTACTTTTCTTCATTGCCCCCACCCCGCGAACGCGGACGAGGGGAAACATTTTTTGGAAGCGGCCCTGTGAAATTTAATTTTCGCCAATTTTTGCCAACCCCGTGAAAATACTGTACTCTCAAAAAAAAGGGGGAACGTAAATTTTATTTTGCAATCCGAAAAAGAATGGCAATCCTTCCAACATTGTCCATAATCTATCCAATATAAACAGAGCGTATTTGTACTCGACGAATATTGGAGTGAAAAACATTTTTTGCCATTTTCATTTTGTTTGCGCTATCCGCGCTTTGTTACGATCTTTTGTGAATTACAGAATTGGCAGAATGATAATGTAGACTTCAAAGGAAAAGTTTAAAACACGTGGACTAAAGGGTAAACGCGCTTCTATCCGGGTCATCGCAAGTATATGCATTTTTGTCACATTTGACAGCAGATTCACAACCAATCATTGTCAATAACATTAGATACATCAGATATATTTATATAGGTTTGGAAAACAACCAAAGGATATAACAAAGGAGTCATCGGCGTGACCAAAAATCTAAAAGTCGAGGGATAAAATTGTGTCAAGGAGGGCATTACGCGTGCAGATCCATTTTCGAGATAATCTCCCACAGAGATTTTTGCCTCCATTAAAATTTTTTACTTTTTATTTCAGTAGGAAGACACTTTTTTCTTCCTCGTAACCAGACGCAATTGCAACTATCATTAATGACGTGTACCCGAGTACACATAGCGAGGCTCGATCTGGCACAGTATATATACCAACAGCACACGTATATATACGTAGGTACATCCAAAGCATAGGTATAGAGCCTCTGCACAATGCGCCCTAATGACCACGGCCTATCTTTATCTGTTCTTTATTTTCCCCGTCGGTCGTTTTCTCGTTCCTCGATTTTACATTCTTCTCCCTCCGGCAGGCGCCTATACGTGTCGTCACACATTCGCTCGTCTCGTCTTCAAGTACAGTAGTCACTTCCCGCCTCGTTTTCTCGCCTCCAGAGTCACCCCCTGCGAACAATTTTAAAGCTATATACCACCCCCTCGCGCAGCTAAGGCATCTTTTATAAAACTGCCAGTCAGGAAAAAAAAGATCTTCGTCGCGTTGACGACTCGCGGATTCGCCACGGGTATATGGGGAATATTTTTTCGATCTCGGGTTCCCCGTGGCGATGGATCGACATACCTGAAAGTGACGTTATTCACGTTTGCCTGCAGCTCTCGTTTGCGAGTAAAGTACCGTTTGCCGCGCAGATTCTGAGTAGTTTTTAATTTTCGTAACTTGCGTGAGCCCATTGTTGGCACTCGAACTGTTGCGATTCGTCGTTGCTTACCCGGAGTAGTGGGTGCCAAGGGAGGACGTTTTTATGCACGCCGGTTGACGAGCCGGAAAAATCATCGCAGCGAGCAAGGATTTTATTTCAATTTGGATAAGTTGTCACGTTTTCCCTGTAACTTTTTCAGCGCAGGCTCAGCAGAAATGAAAGGCGTCGAAGGTGTTGTACGTATCTAGATTGAAAATTACTTATAAATACAAAAGCTTTGTAAAATGTTTTTACGTTTCATTTCTTCGCTTTATACTAGTACAAATAAATAAACCGCGAAACCAGTCCGGCTGTGTTTGAATTTGTTTTCAAAACCCTCCAACGGAAGAAATTATTTTTTTCCGCATACGTCTCGCACCTGCAGTGTAAGTACTTTTGGCCTCACTCCTTGCACCTCGAAACGACTTTTCTCGAACCTTCTCCCGCGTCATTAATTTCAAGCTCCAAGTCCGCCCTCTTTTTTTCCCCGAGCTTTTATTTATTTTTTTTTTTTTTGCACAAACAACACAACTCGCGACGCCATACGTATTTACTTTTCCATCGAATGGTCCTTGTAATGAACGAAAATTTCAGCGCACAATATCAGCTCGACCATGCGATCCCCCCCGTCTTTTTTCCCCCGCCTTTTTTGGCCTGACTCTAGCTGTCACAGGCCGAAATCCCCGGAAATTCGTCCACCAGTCGCGTTGATTACACCCATCGCCCTGTTTTTTTTTTTCAAACGAGACTCCTCCGTTTAAATTAAATAAATATAAGGATGTAGCAAAAAATGGGTCAAAAAGCTGAGCGTCAGGAGGTAAAACGCTAGTGTACAAGGGAGAATAATGGCCGTGGCGTGAACACTTTAGCCGCGCTACGTGGGCCCCTCGGTTTTCCAGTTAACGCCAGCTTGGGGGAGTAAAAAAATTGTCTGGTCTCACCCGAACGCTAAAGAGTTTAGCGAGTTACGGGGACGACGAAAGGGAAGGGGGGAGTAAGTATACAGCGGGTAGTGTAAGAACCGGGAGCTTGACGAGAGGGGGATAAAAGCACATTCTACTTAGCGAGTCGATATTTTAATCTCCACGAGTTGGCCGTCCGAGCGGTACCCCCCCCCCCATCTTTCTCTCTACCCTCGTCTCGTCCACACATAATAGAGGTAGTGCAGTCGGGGGGTTGCTACCCTTCCCGGGAAAATGGAAAAAAGTCCGACGGCGCACCTTGTAGTTGTTGTTTAGCTGCTGGAGAAAGGAAAGAAAGGGGGGCACACAATATGTACGTGTGCCGGGATAAAAGTAAAAGACCGTGCCGGGAAAAACAAAGGCCCGTCGCCGGGGGTCAGATGATGCGCACGGATTTCATGTAGGCTTACTCGTATGAACGCGCACTACGCCGGACGTTGCAAAAGACGCGAGTTAGAAGGACACACATACATAATATATTATATACCCATGGATGAAAAAAAAAAAAAAAGAAAAAAAAAAGATACATCCTTCGAAACTCACGCATGTAAGAGTTTGCGAGTAACGAGAGCACGTGTGTTTATTACAAAAATAAAGAGAAAGAAAGAAAAATGTTTTTTTTTTTTTTTTTCTTTTGAAACTATACAACCGCCCAAGTATAAAAATGCACGCCCGGATACCCGAAGCCAGCGAAACGAAAATCCAGCCGAGCCGCATTTTTGTCGCTGTATATATAACAGCTATCGGGAATCGGAAAAAGGAGGAGCGGCTGCTGTGTGTGTGTATACTTATCCACCGGAGCGTGGCTCAAATGAACGCTCGAGGAGACGTTTTGTCGCTCGGCCAAAAAACCATCGGCGATATACACTACTCCCTGCGGTTAAAGCCGAGAGTCGCGGCCAATTCCTCGAGAGCGGTGAGTTCGCGGCTGGAATTCAAAAGTTCGGAAATCCAGTAAATTGGCTGGTTAACGGAGAGAGCTAGGGTTGGCCGTGGCCGATCGGTAATCGCAACACGTAGTACCAGGTGTATATAATGAATGGAGCCTCTAGTTAAATCTTGACAGCACAACTCGGCGATTCCGGGGATCTATCGGGCAAGAGGTTTATTCGCCACGAGCGCGATGTATTAAGCGGTCGTTTAAATGAGAAAACCACGGGACTCGACCAGGAGGATGAGGGAGTGTGTTCTCTTTTGGGAGGGAATTGCGAGTAATCCTACGAGGGACGCGCAGTCCGCGTAATCGCGGATGATTGAGCAGCCCCCGAGTGAACCTCTCTTGTGAAGAGCAAGAAAAAGGAGAGGCGGCGGTCCCTCTGGGAGGGAAAAAAAGCTTATTTACTCTTCCCGAGCTTCTCCTGGCTCTGTTCGTATAGAAACTCGTCTTGGTGAGCAATTGTTTGTGTTCTTGATGTCGCGTGTTGCATTTGAATGACATTGAGCCCCTGTTTGAGTGACGAAAAAAAAAAAAAAAAAATGGCTTGTAGGGGTGTAGGTATCGATAGCCGGCGATAAATTCGTCCCGGTGAGGGAGAAATTACGAGGATCGATTGGCCGGGCGTGTAAAACAAAAAGGATTTGCGGTGAGAGTAGGGGGCGATTGGAATTCTAATTTGTAAATTCGTCGAGCGTGGGGCTGCGCGAGGGAACGTATGTATATATGTACACCGACCACACGCGTTACTTGGTACATATATATATATATGCCCACGTATAACTGCGTATCGACGATTAATTTCCTTGCGCGAATCCGTACGCGTCGCCAATCAGTGGAAAATGGCCATGGCTAAATGGACAATCGAGATGGCCATCGATCTATTGCGTAAGTGTAAATGTACGGCTATAAATGTTGAGGGTCGTGTTAGTTTTTCACCGTATACGAATACATCAAGCTCACCTCCCTTGGTCGTATGGATATTTAAAATTTTTATCCTCTCCCATGTTGTTACGTTGATTGCACCTGTTATACCTGACAAATGACCGGACATCTTCCAAAACGAGTGTCGTGAAAAAAAAGTCATTTTCATGAAATAACTTCTTCGGTATCCTTCAAAACTACATGTATAGCCACGTACTACCTCGTTCTTCTTCTCTTTCCCCAAGAAAAAAAAGTTCAAATGTTCTACCGACGAACGCACACACACACGATTCCGCAGCTTAACATCCCTCCCATTTACCTTTTTTTACAGTTTATTTTTTTTTTGTCCTCCAATCTTTTTTCCCCGCACGGAGAGTTGGCGAATAACGCTACTCTGGCTGTTTCGAAATCCTCCCTGTGGACCCCACTTTTCTTCCCAATAACGGAATTTCGCCGTTTCCCGGGGTTTTCCAAATCAGCTTCGACTATTTTACCCGGTAAAGCTTTCTCCAATTTTTTTTTTATTTCAAATCTCATCCTCAGCGTCTCGAATGCTATAACCGATAGAAATCCGTGACGTACGAGACAGTGTACAATAGCTCGATAAAGAATGTCCACACTATTTAGGTTAATTATGGGGGTGTCAGGGGATAAGAGATGCTTGTGCGTACTTACGCTACTCGGTCAATTGAATCAAATTTTTTTTTTTTTCTTTTTTTTACGATTTTTACTATAGCTAACTGTACTGATTTTCATCCACAGCTGGCATAAAGCGTCGAGTGTTTTGTTTGAAAAAGTCCTTGGAAGATGAAAACCTTTAAAAAACTTTCAATAGCTTCGAATCAAAAAAACCCCTCCGTACGAAAATGGCCCGTGAAGAACATACAGGTGCACCGTGTAGACGACAAAGTACAAGCGGGCAGTTTTGCGTGGAATGACGTTGGGGCGGAAACTTTTGGCATATAGCGTATATATATATATACATATACACGTGTACAGGAGGTGAAATTTTTATCTGTTCTCTCCTCGCTCTACAATAATCAACTTTATACCTTCTTTCTTTTTCCTTACCCGCACCCCTCATACTCCTCTCGCGCTCCTCAATCTTATACATATACTATATGCGCAACAAGGAAAGAGGATTTGGGCCCGGCTTTTTCTACTTTTAACGAGTTTCGCGTTACGAGTGCCCCCGTCCGCAATTATTTTCATTTTAGAATACTCGCGCGGTTGGAGCGCAAAGTATACTTTATGCTCGGGGGGGGAGGGGGGATCCATATGGATTCTTTTCAGCGCCGACGTTTCGCGCGTCTTGAAATTTACATCTGCAGAACCGGAACGAGGAGTTAAGTTTTACTGCAAAGCGCGCCTTGTAATCAAACAATATATTTTAAATTGTAAAAAAAAAAAAAAAAAAAAAAAAAATAAACAAAACGCCCTTGATGTAACAATGAAATGTTGTTGCAGGTGTTCGACAAACGCAACCGCGGCTACATCACCGCTTCGGATCTGCGAGCTGTGCTGCAGTGTCTGGGCGAGGATCTCTCCGAGGACGAAAGTAAGTTCCCGCGTGAAAAATTGCGCGTCATTTAATTTCGCACCGCGAGCTTTAACGGGTGTATGTTCCTGTAACATCAAATAAGCGCTGTACAACAGGTAGGTGCTCTGGTTTAAGGCGAATTGAATTATGTCGACGGGCTGAATGGAAAGGTGGGGCATGACGGGCCAAGGGAGGACTTTCGTGCGGCCGCGCGCTGTATTATACCTGAAATTTCACGCGCCCTACAGCTTGTGTGTGTGTGTGTTTGCGTCGAAGACTTAAGATTGTTTCGCGCGAGTCTCGTATATCACTATCCAACAATGATGTCGGGGTGCATAGTAGCTCCGCTTAGCTTTGCGTCCGGGCTGTAATTAGAAGAGTTGGGTTATTGTTGTTGCGCGAAAAATTACTGCTTTGGTTTTTTTTTTTCAAAGGATCACGACAGCATGGGTGTAACGTTTCCTCGATTGGACATATTTACGTGACTCGACGCGTTCACTCTTGTTTACGACGTCGTCGCGATGAAAAAGAGCTTCCCCGGGATTGTGATCGTCGCCGAGTCGAGTTATAACGAAGCCGAGACTTTTATAAAGTTCGACGGGCGTGAATTTCGCGCCCAACTTTTTCCTCCCCATCCAAATTCTCTGCTTCCGGCAAATCGACTTGCTTTTGGCGCTAACGCTTATTAAAAATACCGTGGAACTTTGTGATCCGCGCTATTGAAAAACGTTTACAGCACATATGGTACTGCGTTCGCGGGTACTGTAAAGAGACGAGCGATTCTTGGAAAAAATGCCGCGTACGTGGGGACCATTTTTATGGAGGCGCAACAATGGATAGACGACACATTCCGATGAGGAATTATTGAAAAAGTCGGGACTCATCGGGCTTCCGTATACCTGCGAATTCACGTGATATTTCTCTCTTTATTTCCTCCGGCGCGTGTAGACATTTACGCTCCCGCGCGGGAGGACGGATGTGTAATAAAAGTGGTAAATAAAAATTTCATCCTACGCTTTTGGTTCGCCGGAGCGAAACCCGACGGTGGTGGTGGTAGTACTTGATGGATACTTGGGGGAAAAAAAAAAAGAAAAAAATTGCATATACATATACCTCTATACGTATATGCTCACTGGCACTCGTGCTCGTATTTTCTCGTTGCAGTCGAGGACATGATCAAGGAAGTGGACGTGGACGGGGACGGCCGAATCGATTTCTATGGTAAGACGTGAAAATCGAAGGGCAGAGAGTGCGGTAGTAGCCGGTACCAAACGGCCAACCGTCAGTGGCGATGCGCGAGAGCTCACCTCCATAAATATAAATAGGACGCGCCGCGAACTTCTAACCCAATGTACCTCGTTCCTCTCTTCCGATCGATTGGACCGAGTCTGTTGAGCCACGCGCATCGATCCACTGCGCTTTGGTGTGCTTTCAAAGCCAACGAATCGTGAGACGAATATAATATATTTGCCTTTGAAAATTAAAGAATTCGTCCGCGCACTGGGCGAGCCGGGGATCGACGACGACGACGACGACGTCGAGGAGTACGAGGAATACGTGACGGACGAACAGGAGGAAAAGAAGACGGTGGTCCACGAGACACCGAATCCAGCAGTCAAGAGCTCCGAGGAGCAAGAGGATGTGGAGGATCAGATGCAGAGGCTAGTGACCAACTATAGCGAGGAGGAGGTGGAGGAGGCTCGGGCTGTGCATCTGTCGTCGACGCCGCCTTGAACGGCTGGGGTGTACCAATAAACGTCGAAAAACAAGAGTATCGCTAGCCGCGCGCGTCATTTTATGTCTCTTGCGGTGTGCTCCGGTTTGCGGATCGGCCCTCGATCGGTGCAGTTTTCAAAGAGTACACGCGCTTGATTTTACATGCCGTCTCGTCCAAAAGGAGTCCTTTCCCGCGAGTATGAACAAAAAAAAAAAATTGTTCGAGTGGCTCCGTTTGATGGCCGCACGGGAGACTCGTTTTATTGCGCGATTTGTCAAAGCCACTTCTTCGCTTCGTGTATAGGGTGCGTTTTACGGGTCCGCGGGTCGCTCGGTCCGGTGCTCGCGGAAAGAAAAATCCTCGCGCTCGTACTCGAATGTGCTTTTATTTTTATTTTCATCTCCTCCCCCCCCCCTCTCTTTTATTCTTCCTTTCATTATATTTTTCATTTGGGGTTTTACGACTGGAAAGACTGGCTGCGCGGACGCTTGGCACGGGGTTAACTTTTCATCTCACGCGCAAACGAAAAACACACATCTCTCTGTAAGTATTATTATTATTATTATTATGAATAGGGTTTCGAATCGACTCATCTTTCGTATCTCGCTCTCGTATCAAGTATTTTTGGTAACACACTCTTAGATGTAACTTGTACGTTTTGGACTTTTGACGGCCACGTGCTTGATGAAGTAACCAATTTTCGATACAAAAATACAATATTTTATAGAATATAGTTTCGATTGAGTGTTTGTTTGTCGCATTTAACGTATGATATGTAATATTTCATAGAAAAAGTATATTCGATTGAAACAATTCTATAAAATTAGTTAACTAATCCAACAAATATTTTGCATTGTACTGACGAAAAATCATTAACGCCATCAAAGACGAAATAAAGATATTGAATCAATTTCAAGGCTGTACTTGAAGTCTTTTTAAAGTATGAAAAATTTCATCGAAAAAAATAAATAAACTCATGTCGATGATGAAATCGCTAATGTACTCAAGTGTAATATTTCAAAGACTTGTTGAAACTTAATGATCGTATACTGCACACTGAAATATTAAATGTTTTTCCGATTCCTGTCTTCTTTGGGTGAGTTATACGTGTATTGCTAACCAAAAGCAAATGGCCAATCATAATATAGTATAAGTGTCAATACTCCATGAGAATTCAATTACTTCGATGGAAAAAAAAAGACTTTGAAGAGGTGCAACGGAGACTTTCTCTGTGAGAAAGTTTGCAGATACGATTACGATATTTATAATAATGATAAGTATAGTTACCAATTTATCTTATACTGTAAACTCCGTATATTACTCGAATTTTGCGAAACAATCAGTCAAACCAAATTGACATATACATACATATTCAAAGGACTACGATTTGTCTGTGTCATAAACTTTAAAAAGTACGATCACGACTTTCTTAAATCTCGCGAGGATTTTTCGCACAAGTAATGCACGTTTAAGTATATGAAACATTAAATTAATCGTGTGCTCTGAAACATCCATAGTACATAATTATTTTGATAACTGTCATGTCGTGTGCACTTTTAAAACACATGTTTTAAGATTACTTTTAAAGTATTGGAATTGAATTTTTTTTTTTTTTTTTACGTAAGCCAAGTTCTAAAAATTTCCAAATCAAAATACGACGTCTCAAACAAGGTGCTACGTATGATTCGTATTGTTTTAATGTTTGCATATAAATTATCATGTAATAAGAATTCAGTTAACGGTAATACCTACAAACGCTTGGGCTTACGAGAATCAATCGACTGATTACCTATTTTGTATAATAACATTGTACAATGATATGATTATATTTGCATGAGTATCAGAGTATACTACTACAGTTGTTCATAATTGACGAGCTGCGTGTCTCGTCGCATTACTCTAGTCGAAAAGAGAAATCAAAAGAGATCACCTCTGCTCTGCTAATCTACTTGTATAAGCATACTTGTAAATTTGAATGAATTTAAATACTTTAAGGACTCAATAAATAAATCTGTATGATGAACCGCACAAAACTACATAATCAGTGTTATTTGTGAGTATTGTTAGTTGGGATGAGATGAATTGGTTCGTGTGAAGAAACGGGAGTTTCAGGGGAAAAAAAAGAGCAAAGCGTTTTATTAACTTCATTTTTATTAGCGATAAATAAACTTACATATCTATACAATAACAATATATACTCTCGTAATCATCAGAAAATATTAAGATCGTCTGCAGCGATTCGCGAGTGATCTTTTAATTTTTTTTTTTTATCTGACATTACATGACTCTGCACGCATCGGCGATCCAACGAAGTAGATCTGAAAAGCGTCTCGGTAACCACAATTTCTTTTTCCCAAACAATTATTTTATGCAGCCACTAGGATGTCGGTTATTAATATTTTTGCCAACGTGCACATTACCAGTTTACAAGCGTTGCGTCATCCCGGTTATCTTAACATTTTTATATGTATGTAACGTGTTTTCATCAGTCATTTTCCATCGTTTGACCGACCAGCGTCATGGAGTCACGAAAAAAATACACAAGAATTTGAAGTTTATCTTTTTTTTTTTTTTTTTTTTTTTTTTTTTTTTTTTTTGTTTTTTTTTTTTTGACATTTATTGTTATATTTTGCGTAAAAAGTCACGTGGCCCATTTTCAAAGCAGGTAAGTAGAACAATTTTTACGATATACGATTTACGTGTACTATGTATGTATATATCATCATATATAGAATATTACACATGTCTTAACAATAAGGTATATAGGTAGGTGAAAGAAAATTCGTTGTTCACATGATAATGTTATACCTGAAAAAAAAATTTTTGGTTTTTTTTCCCAATGATTTGATTATCTTGTTTTCTGTTAATCACAATTGGCCTTATTCGTTTGTCCATTTCATGCTTCTCATGGAATTTCCTTCACAAAAATAATCTTTTCGTATATAGGACACAGTAAATATCCGCGTAACAGCAAAAAATTTTTTATACAAATTCTTTGATAAAACACGTGTTTTTGTTCCCCTAACGATATCTATTAAATTATAAAGGGAAAAATTACGTAATAATAAAATGCTATGTATGCATAGTGGACATTAAACATGTTGTAAATTACACACATCTTGGGTATTGAGAAATTCGAGAATCGTAAGCCATCACTCACATTCAAGGTATATTATGTTACGTATCTCCATTTATTTGTACAAGAATAGAAGGAGAAACATACAGTTTTAGTGTCGAAGCTCATGGAAAAATATATATCAACTACCTAGTTTGATTAACTTGACATTTTTATCTGCTATAATATACAGTCCCAGCGCCCACTAGATCGTGTTTCACTGGAAATTAAAAAAAAAAAAAAAAAAAAAAAAAAAAAAAAATAAACAAAACGCCCTTGATGTAACAATGAAATGTTGTTGCAGGTGTTCGACAAACGCAACCGCGGCTACATCACCGCTTCGGATCTGCGAGCTGTGCTGCAGTGTCTGGGCGAGGATCTCTCCGAGGACGAAAGTAAGTTCCCGCGTGAAAAATTGCGCGTCATTTAATTTCGCACCGCGAGCTTTAACGGGTGTATGTTCCTGTAACATCAAATAAGCGCTGTACAACAGGTAGGTGCTCTGGTTTAAGGCGAATTGAATTATGTCGACGGGCTGAATGGAAAGGTGGGGCATGACGGGCCAAGGGAGGACTTTCGTGCGGCCGCGCGCTGTATTATACCTGAAATTTCACGCGCCCTACAGCTTGTGTGTGTGTGTGTTTGCGTCGAAGACTTAAGATTGTTTCGCGCGAGTCTCGTATATCACTATCCAACAATGATGTCGGGGTGCATAGTAGCTCCGCTTAGCTTTGCGTCCGGGCTGTAATTAGAAGAGTTGGGTTATTGTTGTTGCGCGAAAAATTACTGCTTTGGTTTTTTTTTTTCAAAGGATCACGACAGCATGGGTGTAACGTTTCCTCGATTGGACATATTTACGTGACTCGACGCGTTCACTCTTGTTTACGACGTCGTCGCGATGAAAAAGAGCTTCCCCGGGATTGTGATCGTCGCCGAGTCGAGTTATAACGAAGCCGAGACTTTTATAAAGTTCGACGGGCGTGAATTTCGCGCCCAACTTTTTCCTCCCCATCCAAATTCTCTGCTTCCGGCAAATCGACTTGCTTTTGGCGCTAACGCTTATTAAAAATACCGTGGAACTTTGTGATCCGCGCTATTGAAAAACGTTTACAGCACATATGGTACTGCGTTCGCGGGTACTGTAAAGAGACGAGCGATTCTTGGAAAAAATGCCGCGTACGTGGGGACCATTTTTATGGAGGCGCAACAATGGATAGACGACACATTCCGATGAGGAATTATTGAAAAAGTCGGGACTCATCGGGCTTCCGTATACCTGCGAATTCACGTGATATTTCTCTCTTTATTTCCTCCGGCGCGTGTAGACATTTACGCTCCCGCGCGGGAGGACGGATGTGTAATAAAAGTGGTAAATAAAAATTTCATCCTACGCTTTTGGTTCGCCGGAGCGAAACCCGACGGTGGTGGTGGTAGTACTTGATGGATACTTGGGGGAAAAAAAAAAAGAAAAAAATTGCATATACATATACCTCTATACGTATATGCTCACTGGCACTCGTGCTCGTATTTTCTCGTTGCAGTCGAGGACATGATCAAGGAAGTGGACGTGGACGGGGACNAAAAAAAAAAAAAAAAAAAAAAAAAAAAAAAAAGTATTTTCATAACTTCTTGCCAACGACACAACTATACATCTACAACGCTTTCCCACTACGGCTCACGATCAGTGATGCAAAGATATTGTCTTTCCCCGAAACCTGAGCAAATGTAAACGAACGTGGAATGTAGAGCTCCGAGCGCTCCAACGGTGCGTTTACTATTTGAACCGGCCGGCAGCGAGCAAACCGCGTCGCTTCGGGTTCGCTTCGAACGACGACCTTCACGAGATCGGCTCCTCGTCCGTCTCGTCGTCGTCGTCAATGCGTTTGTTCGACGCCGCGCTACCCGCCACACATCCCAAGCCGGAAGTCACGAGCGGCACCGCGCTGAAGGAGTTTGTGCGCGGTCGCCGGTGCTGCTGGCGCTTCTGGAGCTGCTCACCACCGTCCGCGCCGGGGTTGCTCGGGTGGGTGGATATGAGAGGCCGCAGGGCGGAGCGCAGGGACCAGTACAGTCGGGGATACCTCGAGTCCGGTCTGGCGTCCTCCAAGGACTCCACTGCTTCTTCTTCTTCGTTATTTCCCTATGAGCAAAAAAAGAAAGCACGTTCCAAAAAAACCATTCGGTAAAAGTAAATGACGACAATCAGCGTGAAACCCAGGCAAGTATATTTATGTACGTACCACGTTTCCATTGGCCTTGACAGCGCCCGCGGGAGTGGGCTCCTTGGAGACTGGTAGTTTCTTCCCGTCGGCGAACTGCCTCAGGGCCTTGTCGCGCACGTAAACGAAGGGTCTGACGACCCTGAGATCCTGCTCGCGGATGTAGTAGTGCGCCTTCATCGTCTTGAGCTTGCCGTTGTTGAAGAACGAGCCGAGGAAGCCTTCGGTGAGGTCGTCGAGGTTTTGGCCGAGGGCCAGCACGTTGTAGCCGTTGGTCTTGGCCAGGGCGTACAGCTTGGCTCGCGTCGCCTTCTCGCAGAAGCTCGTGCACGACGACGACGATGAAGGTGGTGCCTTGGTTGTCCCACTGTTTGTGGGATCCTCGCAAAAGTAAGGTACCCCGAGGGCGGTCAGGTACGTGGTCAGGCGATGCTCGGGTGCTCGGGCGACACTGGCCACGCCGATCTCAAAGTCCAGGCCCTTTGACCTCCCGTAGAAGCGGTACTGGTGCAGCGCGTGCAGGAGACTCATCGAACTGGCGCCTCCGGGTGTCAGGCACAAGAGTAGCCGGTCCCCGTCCCGGATCATGTTGAACTCCTGCAGGGCCTCGACGGTCGGCTTCCAGACGTTCTTGGGCGGACAGTGCCACGGCCCGGGGGACTGATGCTGTTCCTCCGCGTCCGTCGCGCCCTCGAGATTTTGGGTGTGCAGCTGCGTGGCCGAGAAGAAGGTCTCGTCGTCCTCGGAGAGGTCGTCGTTGGCGCGAGCCTGCTTGCAGAGGCCGAGACCCGTGGCAGCGGTTCCCAGGCGAGGCCTACTTGTAGTGCTGTTGCGCCCGCAGCACCCGTTGGAGGTGGATTCCGCGCTGCTGCTGCGCCCGAGCTCGGGTGCCGAGCCGTCGACCGAGCGGTCGCTGTCCTGGAAGCTGAGGTTGATGCCGCTGTCCTGCGAGCTGACCGAGTTCACGGCCGAGTAGATCTTGGGGAGATTCTTCTCGGGCTCGCTGTGCTCGGCTTCGTCGTCGTCGTCCGTGTTGTTGCTGGTCGTCACCGGCGCGGCTGGCTGCGGCTGGTGTGGCTTCCCGAGGCTCGGTGGGTTCTCGGCCGTCGGGCTTGGCTTTACCACGTAGATGACGGTCTCGTCGGACGAGCACTCGGACGACATTTTGCTCTCGTGCTGCGACAGCTCGCTGACCTTGCCAGGGAGGATGGGAGTGCGGCAGCGCGAGTTGTGCTGCTCCAGGAGCCCCGACGTGGCGCGCCTCCGGTCCGAGGGCGAGTTACACCCGGAAGATGATCTGTCGTCCGGCGAGTACCTGCGCGTCATTGGATCATTAGGTCATTAATTTTTAATGAACGTGATACGCACTAAAAGAGCGTATATAGCATACCTGTGCAGCCCGTCGACTGAGCTGACCATTTCGCGGATCTCCGACTTAACTTCGCTGGCCATTTCTTTGGAGAACTCCATGAGGTACTCGGCAATGTCGCTGGCGGAAAACGAGTCGTGGTGCTGTTGCCTCTCGAGGGTGCGGGGATGATGCTGATGATAGTGATGGGCGGACGAGTCGGTGGTGTTGCTTTCGGACAGGGCGTCGTCCACCTTGGATATGACCTCCCTCAGCTCGGACTTGATCTCGGTGGCCAGCTCCCTCGTCCGTTCCTTGAAGTAGGCACGCAGGTCGTCCTCGGAGCTCTGCCTCATGACCGAGGAGAGGATGGGCGAGGATCGGCCCAGCCGGTGGGTGCCGATGGCCGTGTCGAACGAGGACGAGGAAGTGGCGCTGCCCAGTGGAGGCGAGGTCGTGGACACGTGGCCGAGCGAGGAGGCCGACCTGCCGGGCCCGTCGAGCTCAGTCTGGCTGCTGCAGCTGCAGTGCCGGTGGCGCTGGGAGCCGCTCGCTGCCGCGATACCAAGACTCGCGAGGGTTTGCGGGCTCAGGGGTATCGGCACGGGCGAGGTGGTACCAGGCGTCGAGCCGCTACGCCCACGGCACTCCGTCGAGCTGCCCAACGAGTTGCAGCGCACCCGAGCCACGTAGACGGGCGAATCGGCTTCGGATCCAGAGTGAGTGTGACCGTTGCTGTCGTTGCTGTGGTCGCTTTGGTGTTCGACTCCGTGCACCAGCCGCGCGATGGCCGGGTTGCTCGAGCCTAGTATTCCAACCGCCGCGGTGGTCACGGCCTCGCCCACGGCGAACCTCACGGGCATGGGCGAGCCCGGACAAGTGGCCGGCAACTTTTTGGCGCGTGCGATCTCCTCGTCCTCCTGGTCCTCGTCGTCCTCGACGTCGCAGCTCTTGGCCATTCCCTTGGTCTTTCCGAGCGTCATGGTTGCGGTGGTCGTCAGCGCGGGTAAGCTCCGGTGGCGCGGCGAGTTTGGCGTAATCGGGACCTTTTTGGCGCAGCCCCGCGGCACGTCGCTGTTGAGCCTCCTCATACCGACGAAACTGAAAGCACACGCCAGTTGGAGCAACGTAACAGGACTGTCGTATGTGTGCACGTGTTTTATATATATATTCTTACCACGAGTTGTCGAGCAGAGCGAGCCTGTAGCGGATGGGGTCGAAGGGCACGTGGTGCTTGACGTTCTGCGAGTTCCCGAGCAGGAGGTCCTGGGCCTCCCGGGGCAGCATGAACCACCGGAGGGCCTCGCTGCGCTCGCCGAACGAGACGCTCCGGTCAATCTGCATGGGGAACTTTTGGGCCATCTTGCGGGCCCGGTTGAACGTGTTGCGGGCCGTCTGTAGGCAGTCCGAGTGGCTCTGGGGAAAGACCCCCGGGCCCGAGACTCGGCGCTCCGTCGCGCTCATGCGCCCGTCCGTGTAGCGTATCGAGCCGAGCCACCGGCGGTCCTTGAACACGCTGTTGGTGTGGTGACGCCACTCACCGGTCTCCGGGTTGAGCACGTACTGGGGCAGCAGCTTCCAGCCCTCGGTCGCCACCATTTTCAAGGCCTCGAGGACAAAGCCGATTTCGGCCTCCGACATGAAGTAGGGGAACGTGAGCCGCGTAAAGCCCGGGCGCAACGTCTCGGCGTTCGACTCGTCGCGGATCCCGTTGTTGTTGTTGTTCACGTTTTGGTTGCTACACGAAAAAAAAAAAAAAAAAAACCAGTAATTAATTTTTTCTTTCCTTTCGTAGTCGTGATCGAGCTTTG